CATGGGGGAGAAGGATCGAAAGAAAACGTGCACTTATTACCTAAATTCAATAAAATAAAGTTACTGTTAAAACTTTGTGAATTGATCCTAATGTGTACATTTCAGTAATCAATCTATCTATCAGAATTCATCTATCACTGGTGTCCTCCCAGTAAACATAAATCAGGTCAATTGTTATGGGTTAGTGAAAACATTGTCCGTGACCATTGCACTGCTTTGCTGAATCAGCCATATGTAGGAAAGAGTTATGTGTATATTAGGTAATGTATAACAAGATGCCCACATTGACAGGGCTATGAAAAAAAGCATGTGATGAAGTCTATTCTGACGTACTTGTGCACCACCTGGTGGCCAGTTTGCAGTATGCAGTCAACTAGGAAAAGTAAAGGGACGGCTTGGCAATTTTTCAACGTTTATGTCTGTAACTTCGACCAAAAAACTACTTTTCAGTAATGGAGCTTGGATCATGAGCTGATGAAGCTGTGACTGTGACTGCATATCCATGGTAGTAGTTAAAGTGTATCAAAAGCCAAAACTGTGCTGTTTTTAGTTTTGGATGGAGTGGGCAATGGATAGCAAGCCTGTCAAGTTTTACCTGCATGGAGTTTGCATGTTCTCCCTGTACTTGCATGGGCTTCCTCTAGGTACCCCAGTTTCCTTCCACACTTCAAATACATGCTAGTAGGTTGATTTGGTCTTGTCTAAATTGTGCCTCGTGTGTGTACAAATTGGGTATGCACATGTGTTAAGACATTTTGCATCCCGGTCCCAGGTCCGTGCTAATGGGGAGGGTTAAGAAAAGACCTGGCAACCTACTTTGTAAAAAAACAATTGCCATTAAATTTCTCTCAAGCATATCCGTCATGGTGCTATGAGAGCTGGATGTCCAAGAGTCAGATGTGACTGACTGAACATAAGACACCCATGTTTATACTGCTGCCTATGTCCCTGCTGTCGAGATCTGCCCTCTCTATGTATCCTGGTGACCACTGTCAAAGGCAGAAAGTGAGCAGAAATTTTAATTTTTTAGTTGTTTCCAAGACAGGAAACCAAACAAGAAAACTTCCACTTATTGCTGACAACTCTCTAAAATAGGATTGCTCAAGAACGTAAGGGAAATCTAACCAATAAGACAGCAAAAAGGCTTTAAACCCTTCCCTACGCTATCCAAAACTGAAACATTTTGGCTTTAATATAAAATAATTTTTATTATAGCCTAAGAGGAGAATACTTCAGGAAGAGACCCCAACTTCACCTCCTCAACATAGGCTTCAAGTGGCCCCTTCAATCTTCAGTTGATCTGTGTCCTGGGAGATTTCACAGCTGTGGCACCCAATTTGACTGCCAGAAAGTACCACAAATGATGTGTGCCATTGGTTGGTTGGTTGGTTGGTTGGTTGGTGGGCAGCACAAGAATCAAGCCAACCTTTGAGAAGTACATAGAGGGAGATGGCAGCAGTTGGCCTTCAGAATGAATGGAAGCAGCACCCATAGGGGTCAAGTAAATATGTACAAAAAGAAGAAGGTTAACCCGTTCGGAGATAACGGGTTAGTAGCGGTCAACTTAAGGATCCGGACACGTCAATTGATTGTAAAAAATATATAATTTTATTGAAAAAACACATACTATTGCACATTGGATTCACCGATTACCATTAAAAACATTATAGAAAACATGCAGTCATGAGTTATATGTGGATCGATCCTCATTAATATTAGCCTTGTATCCCCACCACGGGGGGGAAAAAAAATAACCGATATAGCTATTGCTTCGGTTTCTTTCCCTCCATTCACTTTACACACGCATGTCCACTTTCGTGAACTAAAATAATCAAGGGGATGGATCCCAAACAAGATGAGTAAGGGGGGAGGGAGACAACGAAAAAGGAAAATGTTCTTCTGGTATCCCTAATCAGATGTAATGACGAATTCTATACAGATCTATAATTTGCAACACCAACTTTCTCTGTTTTCGACTGGATTATCACAGCTGTTTTTAGATGTTGCTTATTTATTTGATATTTCCTGTGTAGATGTCTTCTTAATTCGTAGAAATTTATTTTTGCTTTTACTCCCAAGTTATTCTATCTTTTGTTTTCCGTTTGTTATTGGAATTTTAAGATCTCTGTTGTTTGGTGGTGGATGCCACTAATTTCAATTTAGCCGTGCATGCTATTAACTCCTTCCTGCTCGTCAGCAATGTGTTACTCTAATTGGAGTGGTGGGGTGTAACAAATCCTTTTGTTTTGAGGGGAGGGAAGTTTTCTCACGGACAGACTATCACTGGATTATCATTAATTAACCAACCGCCGGACTTATTTCTTCTCTTTCTCCTTTTATTTAGTGTTGAGTGTAGGTGTTATAAATCTCTACCTCAGAGTGATATATAAATGATGTCCTTAATGGATACATGTAACACTTCTCATCACTCATGATACTGTAGTCTTCTCAGAGTCCGGGCAGCTTGGGGATTTTCCCAGTGCAATTCAAATGTCCACTTCAATGTAGGTACGACTCGTCATTTCTTCAGGGAGATGTCCGCTGTTGCAAAATCTCCGACAGCAGACACGAGCGATGTTTCCACCTCGTGGGTCTCCCTTGATGTCCTGACGAAGCCCCGTACAATGGGAGGGGCGAAACGCGTCGACAGCTAGACAGCAACCAAACCTGCAGTCACATACTACAAGTGGACATATGATTCTGAAAACCTAACTTAAAAGATTTACCAACTTTGGTAAAAATCCGGAATTGGAGGCTCTCACAGACGGACAGACTATATCCTGAACATCCAGGAGACTTCAAGGGAGACCCACGAGGTGGAAACATCGCTCGTGTCTGCTGCAACAGCGGACATCTCCCTGAAGAAATGGCAAGTCGTACCTACATTGAAGTGGACATTTGAATTGCACTGGGAAAATCCCCAAGCCGCCCGGACTCTGAGAAGACTACAGTATCGTGAGTGATGAGAAGTGTTACATGTATCCATTAAGGACATCATTTATATATCACTCTGAGGTAGAGATTTATAACACCTACACTCAACACTAAATAAAAGGAGAAAGAGAAGAAATAAGTCAGGCGGTTGGTTAATTAATGATAATCCAGTGATAGTCTGCCCGTGAGAAAACTTCCCTCCCCTCAAAACAAAAGGATTTGTTACACCCCACCACTCCAATTAGAGTAACACATTGCTGACGAGCAGGAAGGAGTTAATAGCACGCACGGCTAAATTGAAATCAGTGGCATCCACCACCAAACAACAGAGATCTTAAAATTCCAATAACAAACGGAAAACAAAAGATAGAATAACTTGGGAGTAAAAGCAAAAATAAATTTATACGAATTAAGAAGACATCTACACAGGAAATATCAAATAAATAAGCAACATCTAAAAACAGCTGTGATAATCCAGTCGAAAACAGAGAAAGTTGGTGTTGCAAATTATAGATCTGTATAGAATTCGTCATTACATCTGATTAGGGAAACCAGAAGAACATTTTCCTTTTTCGTTGTCTCCCTCCCCCTTACTCATCTTATTTGGGATCCATCCCCTTGATTATTTTAGTTCAAGTGGACATGCGTGTGTAAAGTGAATGGAGGGAAAGAAACCGAAGCAATAGCTATATCGGTTATTTCCCCCCCCCCATGGTGGGGATACAAGGCTAATATTAATGAGGATCGATCCACATATAACTCATGACTGCATGTTTTCTATAATGTTTTTAATGGTAATCGGTGAATCCAATGTGCAATAGTATGTGTTTTTTCAATAAAATTATATATTTTTTACAATCAATTGACGTGTCCGGATCCTTAAGTTGACCGCTACTAACCCGTTATCTCCGAACGGGTTAACCTTCTTCTTTTTGTACTAGTTTAATTGGGTCACGGATCGGACGTAACAAGCAATTGTGTAAATCTAATCAGGGCAAACGTAATCAGTCGGATCTCCAGGAAGGAACACAACCCTATTCTTGTCAAGTAAATATACCTTGAGAGTTTTCCCTCGCGGCCATGGCCTGTTCTAAAGGCACTCTTGAACCCTAGTCCGTCAAGTCCTACCTAAGACCCAATACCAAGGCTAACATTCCTATCACTGGTAATAGAGCCATCATCTTTCCTCTGAATGCTATAGTGACCATACACACAGCATACTGGGGCATAATTTACTATGGACGATCAATTAACCACCAAAAGTAAATTGTAAGATGTGATCAGTGTAAATAATCGAATTTGATTGAAAACAAGATTGGAAATAATACTCCAAGCCCCGATCCACCTGTTTCAATCCTATGTGACAATCAAACAGAACCGCATGAAAAGACCGTTCAAGGTGCCATATGTGTAACGATCATCTCTTTCATGCGATCAAATTTTCCGCCCAGACCAACCAATAATTTAGATGGAATTGATCAGGTTTAATCTAAATCCGTTGATGACACATTGTATGTCTTTTCGATAATAATATTAGATTTGAACACATTTGCAATTCTGTAAAGAATCTTTCGATCAGATCATTACAAGCGTGGCCGCCATTAGATATAGGCTTCAAATGAATAACTTAATGTGATGTTTTCAATAGAAGTGAAGAGACCATTAAAAGCACAATGACAGGTTCTCTTGTCAGGGCACCCCCCCTCTCTCATTGATACTCACTGATACCTTTGCCGTGCTTCCTTGCTGCTCTGGTTGCCTGTCAAAGAGCTGTGTCTCCAACACAAGCCAACATGGAGCTTACACAGGGTTCATGGAATGGCCTTCTCCCCAACTCCATGTTACAGTGTTCTAGCCTGGCCATTGGCCAATCCAAGCACTGCATCCTGGGAGGAAAGGGAGAAGGTTACATGCTCACCCATACCCAGAAGTGCCAGATATTTCTGGCCGAGCGGAGGTGGCGTTCTTTCAAGAGAACCTGTCACGCCAAGACACAAAAACGTGAGGTGGAGTACCTGACAAATCTTTATTACTTTTACCATAAGTGCTCTTTTATGTTCACTTACCTTAGTTTGGTTAGGCTGTTAATGTAGACCACTGAATATTGAACGGCCACAGGGTTGAAATTATTTCCTGACCACTTCATAAAGGTTTCTTGTAGCCTAAGGGAAAATAAAGACAAATATCAGTTTCGGTAAGTAAATGTCATGGACGTGGGATGTTGCAAATGCATGGCTGCTGCAGGCCGCATCGCTTTAAGTCATGTGACAAAGAACCAGTGCACAGTGATATCCGCTTTTTCTCCTTTCGTACCCCTCCCAAATGCATTATTGTATAATTAAGGTGGATTTAAAGTGTATATAAACCCTAACAATAAACTTGTTGATCTTGCCAGAAAGTCTTGTTGACTGTTATCAATTACATTGTTCTCAGATATCACTTAAGACTACATAGCCACACCCCTTTGATATAGAGCAGTGGTTTTCAACCTGTATAACCTCAGGACCCACATTTGTCCGTGTTCATTAAGTAACGACCCAAGTTTCACCGCACTGGAATGCACGGCATTGTGTTAACCTGCGCTCTGGTGGGTGGGAACTGTGGGTGGGAGGTGTGTTTGGGGTGCCATTCAAATGAATGGCAATGCAATGCACCTCCCACACCAGCATGTGCGGTAGGTGTGATTGCGTGGTACAGTGCGTTATTTGTACGGGACTGTGCGATTGAATGCATTGTACTAGTGTGAACGGGCCCTCAAAAACACTGACGGACACACACAACCACAGACACATTCTCACACATGCACATTATCATACACACCCCAAAACAAATTTTTATTTATTTTTTGAGATCCCCCCCAGTCTCTCTATCTTACGAGAACTGGAGTGGATCCTCAGCCTGGGTTCCAGTGTGGACTTCTGTGCTGTGATGGAGCTCCATTCATATGTGCATTGCTTGTACAGATCCTCCGTGTGTCTTGTAGAGGTGTCGGGAGCCAGAATGTGACACTCCAGTCCAGGCACCTCTACAGGGCACACGAGGAAGCTGTAAGCAATACAGGTATGGATAGAGCTCCCTCGCAGCCATGGCCCCTGCCCACCCCACCTCAAGCTGGCACCGGGCAGCATATTTGAATGGCTGCTCAGCACGAGAGCTGACAGTGCAGCATTCTGCTGGACCCCCCCACCAGCCATGATCTGCCTGCATTGCACAGAGACCCTCTAATAACATAAGTGGGTCTAGATTAAACTGATACTTTAAACGTTTTTTTTTCCAAAAGAGAGAAAAAACGGGTTCTGTAATTGCTTAAAGTAGCAGATGACACCGCATATATGGGAGCAGTCGGTGACCCCGATGGACCCTCAATGCAATTCTATACTAGACTCTCTAGAAAACCAACCTTGTGGAAAATGAGCCCAGGTGCTCCACACAAATGTGGAAGGAGAATGTCTCCAGCTCCTCGGACAATTTGGATGATTCTCTGACATGCGTCCCAATTATCTGCAAGGAATACAAGAGTCATTAGTGGCAGGTAGGCCGCAGAAGACAAGTGACTGTAGATAATGCTCAGCGGGTATTAACGCTGAATCCCAGGCAGACGTAGAAAAATTTAAGTAGTATTAAACTCTCATACCTTTTTTAATACTGAATCCAGATCTTACAAATATATATTACCCAGCAAAGTATTACTTTTCATTTTTTGCCCCAGCACTTGCTGTCATGTTTCTGAACAGCTCCAACTCTCTCCGCTCAGCTTTGAAATTCCTGTCTAATACAAGATCACAAGGGACAGAGCAGCCTGCAGCAACTATCAATCTACGACCTTGGAGAAGGGAGGAGGGGAGAGACTGGGAGTTGTAGTGTCTTGCCTTGCTGTGAGTGTGTTTGTGAAGACACATGCAGCTTACTAGCGCACACAAGGGTGGCTCCATAGGACCCTGCAAGGCCCCATTCACACCAGGGCGGCAGCGGTTTTTAATCGCGTTTCAGCGCTGAAATCTATATGGAAACTGCGCTGATCAGTGCGATAAAAGTAGCTCAGGGAGCATTTTGGGGGGTAGGCGTTTCGGATCGTGCAGATCCGCGCGCTTGCGTGAATGGTCCCCATAGGAATGTATGAGATTCTTTATGCAGGCAGTTCAGCCCGAAAAAATAAGCGCAACCGAAACGCCCTGGTGTGACCGGGGCCTAAAACAGGTTATCGGGGCCGTGCTAAGGGGACCGGCTGATTTTAAAAATGTTAAGCATCAAGAAGCGGCATCCACTGTAAGTGATTTCATCGGCATTTGAAATAGAGTAAAAACCTCTTGAATTTATTATCACTTTAATGTGGCTCCATATTCAGTAATTCATCATTAAATGTATTTTTTTTTTAAATGCAAGCAGTGTAAGTACCTGAATCTGACTTGACATCAGCCTTGTGCAATCCAGACTGGGAGCGGCAGAAGCTGCACAAGGAGCCAATCAGTTTCTGCTGCAGTGCTCATGTGCTGACAAGGAACATGCTGATAGGAGGGCAATCAGAGTGACAGAGAGTTGAGCCTGCTGATGCTCCTTCAGCTTTCCAGTAACAGGCTGGGGTCAGGTACAAGACTTGTATGTGTTACATAGCCACAGCAGAGGAAATCTGATTTTCTGCATACTGCAGAGTGGGACCCTGGCTCTCTGTGTGAAAGCAGTGGTCTCTCTGCAGAGGCCTGACATGCCCCCTGCTGAGTGAGCAGGACCTCTAAAGAGGGACCATTGCTTTCACACAGAGAGCAAGGGTTCTTCTCTACACCACGCTGGCAAGGGGACAGGCTTCTCTACTTGGGTTGTGGTTGCTTTTTAACAAAAACAAAGTAAGACGTTGCACAGCTTGTATGCTCTCTGTTCATTACTTTTGCACGATATTCTAATTATTCGAGTTTCAGCTGTATGTCAGCCGATAATAAAACACAGAGCAGACTTTTGTTTTAAAACAGTGTTTAAATCTTATATGGCTTTGAAAATTAGAGTTATAGTTCTGGTAAACAACGCATACTAACTGCCTAATTTGGCCAGGGAATCTAGGCTTCAATGACCTCTAACCACGACAGAGTTAATGTTTGGATGGCAACAATGACACGAGGTGCCATTTTACAATGTGTCCTTGGCAGAAGCTTGTAAATACCAGAGTCTGAAACTGCTTCTTCAGACCAATTTGCATTTCAATGAATGTTCTATTGGAATCTTTAACAAATCTCTAACAAATGGCAAATATGCCATTGTATAAAGCGCTTTTGATTGTTGGACAAAAAAAACAAACAAAAAAACAAAAGACTCCAATTACATTTGCTCTCGCAGAATTGCAGATGCAGCATTTATCTTACTACGGTGCTGGATTTAAAGGAGAACTCAGTCACTGCAGAATAAAAATTGTCACTAAGCAAATAACATTTCATGTCCTGATGTGGTAGGTAGGGTTCTCCTCCATAATGCAGTGACTGGGGGGGTGGGGGGAGGGAACGCATCTCTATGATGATCTCTGGTTGGGCAAGACAGACTGGCAACCATTATATATATATTGTGGCAGTGCAAGGCAATGCCACGGTGTAGTTTGACAACTATGGCACCCAGGACTCTCAGCCAGAGGGGCTGAGAGGGTCCAGAGGGTCCAGAGTGTAAACCATTTTATAAGAAGAACCTAGCCTTTCAGATTCTTCCAGGTTTTCAGAATTGTAGCTGGGATCTGGAGCTCTGGAGATTTCTTATGGTGCCCATACAACTTACAACCATCGCCTGACTTTCGTCCCGCGATGGTTGTAAGGTAATTAAAATCTCGTACGATCTGCCCATCTTGGACAGGCAGATCGTACTTGCGATCATCGCAAGCCCTCCCCGCTGAGGGGCGGGCATCCGATGATTCCAATGCTGAGCGGGCAATTGTGCGCTTGCGCAAACCGGCCCGTTCGGCATTTGTCTTCCGAGCACGCCACTACCCCGCCGAAAATCGTACGAGGCTCACTTTCATTTGCTTTCTGCAGTGGTCTCCACAAGCTATCAAAGGGGAGGATGTTTATTAAGGTATCCTAAGCACAGGACATCATGGTGAGGAACTCTTATATACAGACTCTGCGTGGAAAGCGATACCCCTAGGGATACTTCTGATGCATCCGTGGGGTGGTGGACGAGGGCGAAGAGAAAGATGGCCTCATGCCATTCCTGGCTTGAAGACATCTAAAGAAAGGTATTTAATAGAAAGAAAAGAAGATACATTGTGGGGTGCATCCAGAATGGGAGAACTAGGGGTGGGGAAGGTAAGACCGGAAATGGGCTTTAAGTTCCCCCTCCCCTAGCACATACTGTACTCACCTTTTCCATTCAGCCGCTGCAATCCAAGAGAGGATACCCTGTGTAAGCCCTGAATTAGGAAAAAAAGGTTGCCTGGGGCTTCTCTTTAAAGGAGAACTGTGAGGTGAGTGAGAATCACTCATCCCCATAGTTTGAGCTGACGTGTGACAATGAAACTGTCACAGGTCGGCTCAATAGATCGGGAAGTGAGTGAACACATACCGCCGCTCGCTCACTTCTTGATCATGTCCCTGCACAGAGCCGTGACTGCCACTTACGGCTCCCTGCAGGGATTCCCCCCCCCCCCCCAATCCTCCAGCGCTGACTGGCTGAACGGATGGGGGAGGGGCGGGTACAGTGGGCTCTGCCTCTAGATAGGCAGAGCCAGCTGTCAATCATGCAGCTGGGTGGATCTCGACAGTAATGTCGGGATCCGGCCCGGCTGCGGCGGTCTCAGTATACCGCGAGCTGTAGTGGAGCTTTGGGTCACGGGAGGACGCTAGTTTGTGTCCTCCCGTGACTCTTAGGGGAACTATGGGGAAAAACACTTACCCCATAGTTCTCCTTTAAATATGAGTGGACTGACCCATTTATAAGTATTATTTGATAGTTTTAGAATGTATCCTTTCGTAATCAATGGCTGAATGATTGACATACTCACATGTTCAATATCTGTGAAAAGTGGAAGTTCCTTGAATATCTCCTCCTCCACCTCCTCCCCTTTTTCCCATGTTTTCATCTCCATCTCTAGTATCTTCTGGAAATATTTTTGTATGATTCCCTTAAAAAATATTTGTAAGATTAAAAAAAAAAAGATGAGCCAGCGATGGAATAATATAAGACCTCCAAGAGATAACATGGGAAATGTAATTGTAGAGAACAAAGCAAAAGCAATATTATTATATAATTAATAATAAAACATCATTATAAATAATAATGTAAATAAATATACAAGTAAAAACATTGTTTTAAATCAGATCTATACGTATAAAAAAATACCTGCTGATCCTGCCAGAAATCCAGAGCTGTTCTGCACTTCCAGTATTATTGCAGCCATTGTTATCAGCCTGCCCAGGTCACCTATGTGGTCCACATTACATATCCCCCACTTGTGCAGAAGTGGGAAAGGAGAGGTGTTCTGTAGACCTGCACGCTTTCTGTCCTAGGATAACAACACTGCTCCTCCATAGACTAAGTACAGCGAGTGAGCGTTGTCATCCTACGTGTGTTACTGGCAGGATCACCATTAAAATATAAGACAAAAAGCCTTTAAAAAGGAAACTAGTGCAGCTGCCACATCTAAAGACTGACAAGCAGCGATATATTACATTATAGATACACTTTAACTTATTTAAAAGCCTACCTCCCCTCTCTCCTTCACATGCTTATCACCAAGTTACAGATGTGCTTTAAACATTTCTATACAACTGTAGTGAAGCTCTTGTAAACCTTTACCTTTAGTGCAGTGATATAATCCCTTTTTAATTTTTCAAAGCATTCTCCCTGCAGCACGGGCTGGAGACTGGCAGTGTTAATTTCCGGGTGAAGTTCAGGGTTGCCCATAAATTCTTCACTGTGGAAGGAAAACAAGTAAACCAAAAGCCATTAAAGTAGTGGCAGCCATATTTGTTAATTTCACATGTGGACCTTCTGGGATATGAAGGACACCCATTCAAAATGCGTGAGGGTTTTTGACATTTTACCTGGGCTCAGTAAACTTTATTTTTATGGTAATGGATGTTGCATTGCCTACGAACAACGTTGTCAACTGTCCCTATTTTGGAGAGACTGTCCCTATTTTGTAGAGACTGTCCCTATTTTGGAGAGACTGACCCTTTTTTGGAGCCGAATCCCTCTGTCCCTCTTTTCCCCTTCGCTGTCTCATTTTTGGTCTGAACAAACGTGTTTTACTAAACTAAACCTTTCATTGGTCCTCTAAATCATGTGTAGGCAAGCTACGGCCCTCCAGCTGTGATGCAACTACAAATCCCATGAGGCATTGCAAGACTCTGACAGCCACAGGCCTGACTCCTACAGGCAGATCCATGATGGGATTTGTATAGTTTTCCAAGGGCCAGAGGTAACCTACCTCTGATCTGATCTGATCTAAAGGATTGCATTTGCTATTTTGAAAATCCAGCATTATGGATGTGAGTGGTGAAAAAGCAACTTATCTTGCATACGAATTCTTAGTGGACCATGTAACTGTCCGTTCCTTTTGCCTACATACTTTGACTGCCTCAGTTTGTCATCTCAGGTTTTGAGGTATGCACAAATTAAACTTTGACTTTGAGCATTGAAAGACTTTCTCCCCGCCATCCCAATGTCTAAAGAAAAAGCCTCCGGGACATCAGAGAGGCACCCACTGGGAAGTGAGACAACAAGGAGAGGATGGCAAAGCTCCAAGGCAAAGCTGAAGTTGCACAAAAGGAGCTTGTCTGGGATTTGGGAATCTCCCAGGTGCACACATAACAATATTCTTAACATCCTAGGCTCTTGCAGGCACCCCATGGTGTAATCAAATAATAATAATGTGTTTGCACATATCAGGTTCCCAAGGCTCAATCTATGGAAATGTAGTACTAATGCCAAATTCCAAAGACCATCCGGTACCAGTGGAGGTCCTGATCAGCGGGCTATGGGATGTGTGACATTAGCGATGAACGTACCTCTTCCTCATTCCCAGGGTCCTTTATCAAAAAGTTTTGCTCTTCTACAGCCATCATCCAGTGCAGATCTGGACATGAATGGTCGCTGTGCGATCAGGTATCAGATCTGAAAATAAATGGTGGCTGTGCGATGACGTAACAGATCTGGAAATGAATGGTGGCTGTGCAATGTGGGAACAGTTTTGGAGATGAATAGTGGCTGTGCGATGGGGGATCAGATCTGGAAATTAATGATGGCTTTGTGATTTAGTAACAGATCTGGAAATAAATGGTGGCTATGCGATGGGTAACAGATCTGGAAATGAATGATGGCTGTGCGATGGGGGAACAGATCTGGAAATTAATGATGGCTGTGCGATGGGGGAACAGATCTGGAAATGAATAGTGGCTGTGCGATGGGGAACAGATCTGCAAATGAATAGTGGCTGTGCGATGGGGGAACAGATCTTGAAATGAATGATGGATGTGCGATGGGGGAACAGATCTGGAAATGAATGATGGCTGTGTGATTTGGTAACAGATCTGGAAATAAATGGTGGCTTTGCGATGGGGAACAGATCTGGAAATGAATGGTCGCTGTGCGATGGGGGAACAGATCTGGAAATGAATGGTCGCTGTGCGATGGGGGAACAGATCTGGAAATGAATGCTCGCTGTGCGATGGGGGAACAGATCTGGAAATGAATGGTCGCTGTGCGATGGGGGAACAGATCTGGAATTGAATGGTGGCTGTGCAATGGGAGAACAGATCTGGAAATGAAAAAAAAAACAAGTTGTGTAGGAAAAAAATGAAAGATAGAAGCTGATTGGTTGCTAAAAGCAACTGCATTAGGTTTGGGTAGAACTTGTCTAAGACACTTTTTTATTAAAGCAGAACTTCAATGGACCCACCACTTTAAAGAGGAACTTTACCCACCAATTTGATGTTTCCCAAAACGTTATTTTTAAGGCAGGCCAACTATCAAAGTTGGCAGTGTGCTTCTTTCAGCCGTCAAGTGTCTGGGGCCATAGCTGATCATATGTGCAGCACCATGGCAACTGCAATCCAATCTGGGGCTAAGATGGCACCTTCCTTGGCTGTAAAGGATAGGAGGGTGTAGTTTACCTTTTAATGGTCTCTCAAAACAGTTATTGCTAAGGTATGCCAACGGTCAAGGTTGGCAGTGTGCTTATTTTAGCTCTTAACCAAACTTTTAAGCCCTTATGTGGCTAGGACCATAGCTGATCACACGTGCAGCACCATGGCAACGACAATACAAATAAAGGCTAAAATGGCACCTTTTAGGTAGTTTCACTTTAATCCCGCCAAAGTAAAGCTCAAGCACATATAACTACTTCATAAGTAATCCTGTACGGCCATAATAATTTAAGACTGAAGATTCAAATATTTGCCCTAACCGTCTCACAGCTGCGATTTTACTTGCAGGTCTCATTTTTTTGTAAAAGTGTTATCATAACGAAAGGGCCTCTTGAACGGTTCTGAGCGCGGCAGGATTACGCGCACTTGAGAAAAATATGCTCCGTGGTCAAACGGCATGACTGCAGTGTTAAACAAATTGATTTTCACGCCAGCCGCTGTATTATCCTCTCCAAGTTACACAAGGCTGTCAAAGACTAAGCCAGTTGGGTTGCCATGGCGACCGCTCAGGGTTATGTTCGGGGCTCCTGACACACACACACGCGCGCTCTCTCAAAAGAAGTGCACTTAACCAATAAGGAAGCTGTGCTTTCAAGGTAACCCCCGTATACCTTGGATACAGCGTCACACTGCTAAATGTACTTTCCTCCCCGCGGTTGGTCATAAATGTTGAATGCCCTGGCGCTTTGATGACGGGTATGGAGAAAAGGCAAGAACAGATCTGGAAATGAATGGTCGCTGTGCGATGGGGGAACAGATCTGGAAATGAATGCTCGCTGTGCGATGGGGGAACAGATCTGGAAATGAATGGTCGCTGTGCGATGGGGGAACAGATCTGGAATTGAATGGTGGCTGTGCAATGGGAGAACAGATCTGGAAATGAAAAAAAAAACAAGTTGTGTAGGAAAAAAATGAAAGATAGAAGCTGATTGGTTGCTAAAAGCAACTGCATTAGGTTTGGGTAGAACTTGTCTAAGACACTTTTTTATTAAAGCAGAACTTCAATGGACCCACCACTTTAAAGAGGAACTTTACCCACCAATTTGATGTTTCCCAAAACGTTATTTTTAAGGCAGGCCAACTATCAAAGTTGGCAGTGTGCTTCTTTCAGCCGTCAAGTGTCTGGGGCCATAGCTGATCATATGTGCAGCACCATGGCAACTGCAATCCAATCTGGGGCTAAGATGGCACCTTCCTTGGCTGTAAAGGATAGGAGGGTGTAGTTTACCTTTTAATGGTCTCTCAAAACAGTTATTGCTAAGGTATGCCAACGGTCAAGGTTGGCAGTGTGCTTATTTTAGCTCTTAACCAAACTTTTAAGCCCTTATGTGGCTAGGACCATAGCTGATCACACGTGCAGCACCATGGCAACGACAATACAAATAAAGGCTAAAATGGCACCTTTTAGGTAGTTTCACTTTAATCCCGCCAAAGTAAAGCTCAAGCACATATAACTACTTCATAAGTAATCCTGTACGGCCATAATAATTTAAGACTGAAGATTCAAATATTTGCCCTAACCGTCTCACAGCTGCGATTTTACTTGCAGGTCTCATTTTTTTGTAAAAGTGTTATCATAACGAAAGGGCCTCTTGAACGGTTCTGAGCGCGGCAGGATTACGCGCACTTGAGAAAAATATGCTCCGTGGTCAAACGGCATGACTGCAGTGTTAAACAAATTGATTTTCACGCCAGCCGCTGTATTATCCTCTCCAAGTTACACAAGGCTGTCAAAGACTAAGCCAGTTGGGTTGCCATGGCGACCGCTCAGGGTTATGTTCGGGGCTCCTGACACACACACACGCGCGCTCTCTCAAAAGAAGTGCACTTAACCAATAAGGAAGCTGTGCTTTCAAGGTAACCCCCGTATACCTTGGATACAGCGTCACACTGCTAAATGTACTTTCCTCCCCGCGGTTGGTCATAAATGTTGAATGCCCTGGCGCTTTGATGACGGGTATGGAGAAAAGGCACTTAATGCAGCGTGCGAAGCCCTCCGTTATTACTGCAAACCGTGGTGTAGAGTCATACCTGAATGGTATGTTTAGAATTAATAAGTGTTTTCAGCTTCGGCCCCACCCCTCCAAAAATGTTATGTAAAACCCGTCTGTTAACCCGTTCTGATGAGAACTGCGTTTAATGAATTAATGGATTTTTGGTATTTTCTACCAGGAATTTGCTGTAGAGGGTACCTGCATAGGAGAGGTGAGCATGCAACCATGGACTTAAAGTGGACCTGCTTCTTCAGCGCTAAGTGCAGAGCGGGCGCAGTATATGCACATCAGTGGGACAAAATATATCTCATGTCTCGTGCTCCCTACTGGTCCAGCAAACCTTTTTTCTTCATGGGCAATGGTGGCTGCCCTATAGTAAGGATGAGCTGGGGTTTGGACCAAACCCAGTTTGAACCGAAGTTCCTCCAAACCTGGAAGGAAGCTCCTTCCGTGCCACCCAATCAGTTGCTGGTGGGGAATTCCCTGTCCGCAGCTTTGATGCAGTGATGTAATTGACCTTATATGGTTACATGCCTATTTTTGGTAAACGAGATTTACCTTATATGGTTATGTGGCCATATTAGGTAATTGATATCAGCACAAAGCATCCCGCCCCTTTGTTTACATGCAGAGTGCGGGAAGGTAAGTGTTCCAGGGAGGGTTAGTTTTGGGGAGCAGGGAGGATTAGTGTTAAGATTACAGGGAGGGCTAGTGTTGGGGCTATAGGGAAGGTTAGTTTTAGGGCTACAGGGAAGGTTAGGGTTAAAGGAAAG